CTCCTTAAAACAAAAATGTATTAAGACGAAATTAAATCAAGTAAAAAGAAGCCCCACAATAATTTGGAGGGCGATGATTGTAGTTTTAGTAAACTAAAAATCGTCCCCGTTGTAATGTTACAATAAAATCGCTTTAAATTCTAAGGAAGTATGATGAAATTATTTTATGAATTAGTATAATGTGACTCTAAAGCTGTTACCACTATTGATTAACCATTAAATATTGACGATAAATTCTTATGATAAACTTGCGGGATAAAAATTAATTTATAAATTAAAAGAATAACTATGTACATATATAAGCAAAACACTTAAAAATCGCTTTAAATAATGGATTTTTCATAAGAATTCTGAAGTTAAGAAAAATGCACTGGAAAAATACATAGTATGAACATAATTATATTAATAATAATACAAAGAATCACGATATGAATATATCATACATACATTACGTATTATATTTACGTAATATCTCAAAATCTCCTACTATTTTCCGAATGTCACACTCGTAAAAGTCGTGAAATGACCAGCTATAATATTGTTTATGAAAATCTGTTCAGCTGAAAACTAGATGTCTCGCTGCAAATAGTTCACTTCCGTTTTCCAACCTTGGAGACACTGACAGTTTATTTTTATCAAAACTTATTTGTCACAGTCCATTTATCACGATGATCAAAAGCAAAAACTTTAAAAGTGCTAAGAGAACTTTTCTTGATTCTGCACCAAACAAGAGCAAAGCAACAAAATAACAAATTACCTTGATCAAATTTCAATCGATCTACTATATCAAATAAACAAAAATTTCAACAAATTGTAATACTTTCAAAATAATGTACACACATATGTATGTATATGTATATTAACATTAATTTGTTAATTTTACTTACTACCCAACCAAATTAGGAAGAACAGAACATTTTTTTAAATAATTAGTCATTTTTTGTAAATTAAGATTAAAAATTGCGTTGAACCGCAATATGGAGCTTATTTTAATAGAAGATCTGATTACTTGTGTAGCAACTCAGTTTTACTTATATTGTAATTTTGCATTTATACTCTTAGGAGATATTTTGCACGGTTTATTGAAAGTAATGTAAAAATTAATACGCAATTCATTTTAAATATTTTATTATCATTATTTCATTTTTGTTTCATTATTAAAATTTAAATTCTACTGAAATACAATTATCATAAACAATTAACACATATTTAATTATCTGAAAGGAATAATATAAAAGAGAAAGCATAATAATATATTATTTACAATTAAAAAAAATTAAGGTTTAATTTAATTTCAAATAATTTATACTAAAATTTTCAAGTTAAGAATGTGATTATATGTATAAAAAAAACATTAAATATATATATTTTTATATTTATGCTGATATATCTATGTATAATATATATATATATATATATATATATATATATATATGCGTATATAATCAAATAATACATTTAATATAAATAATTATGTTCCTAAGAAATATTCGCTGTTAGGCATGCATATAATTTTTTTCATAAAGGAACAATTTTTTATTACTTTATTTCATATGCAACATCATGATCATTTATATGCAATGAAATATTCACAAAGTCCATTTGTATCAAATACATATACATATACTTTATATAAAAAAAACAAACGCAAATTACTTTTAAAGCTATAAAATAATTCTTTTATACTGATAATTTTATTTACAAATATATTACATATGCATATCGATTAATGTATATCTTTATTTAAATTAAATTATCATAATAAAAACAGGTAAAACTACTACATATATAGTAGAATATTCTAGTAATAATAGAGGAATATATGTATTTGAGTTTTTGAAATATGCGTTCCTTAACGTCAAAATTGCATTAATACTGTGGGTGTCTTCAAAAATGCATTACAAAAAGTTGCATGTTATCAATAAGTTTCTATTATCCTGTCAGAGCTTTTACTATCATAAAAAAACCTAAAGTTATTGAAAAAATTTAAAGATTATGCATATTTGAGTCAAGTTGTTTTTTGAATAAAATTTATGTTCATGTTTATTTCATAGCATAGCATTTTTTATACCAAATTTCAGAAAAAAACAAAATAAATTAATTCTTTATTGCAGAAAATTTTACAATGGGTTTATAAAATATGTATAAAAAAGGATACTCGATTTCCTCGCTACCCCATTTATTTCCAATATCCAATATGTGTACTAAACATTTTTGAACAAAGCTTTGATTAAATTTTTTTAATGTGATACCTTCTAAAGTGTATGTATTAAGCGCATTTTGAAATGTTGGTGTATTTCTATACAACTCAGGTTAAGATTGTTGCATAATTTTAAAATACACTGAACTGGGACTTACAATGTAATTCGATTCTCGTGAAACGACTGTCATATTCCGAAAAATGGTGAGGTAGTACCAACCAATTTGTATTGTACTACATTTTCATTTTTGCAAATATGAAAATAGTTCCACGAAAATGAAATTACATAGTAAGGCCCTGTTATTATTGATAAGATTCTGAAGTAAAGGAGTTAAGAATAACCTACTCGAATGGTATCTGAACATTGTTGATTTGCCAAATCTCGCATAGTCAACGGATGTCTGTACGTCCTAAGCAAACCGAGCCAAAATTCACTGAACACAACAAACTCAAAAATCAAATACAAAATACCGTAAAGGTCTCATTAAACCTCATCTCAGTAACCACCACACCATCATGTGGAAAAAATTTCGAAAACAGTGCTTAATACTAACTTTCTATTAATACATTTCTTATTGTAAATATATATACTTGTATATATGATATTTATATTTTCTCATACACGTGCATCCATTCCTAATAAACATATGTCGTAATAAGTACATAAGAATCCGCATTTTCAAAAAACTCAGAATTAAATTTCAACTAAATAAGTTATATACAATTTGCCTAAAAACATATCATTTTCCTCATGAAGAAAAAATCATTCGCCGCATCTAATTGGCAGTCATTTTCCCACAATTCAGCAATCAGTAATAAACACAAGCTGTTTATGTTATAATACAATATTACTGAAATAATACACTTATAATACAGGACAGGCACGTACTAAATAACATAATGTATACATGCTAGCACCAGGTAGTAATTTTTTGCACGGCACATATTTTTTTACATACACTATGTACATAATAATATGCATCATCAATCATGATAGTTAAATGTATGTAGCAGGCGTGTTCGAATGTTTTCATAAGATTCTTTCCAGATTCTTCAAGCTTAGTTTTTTTTATTAAAAAAAGCGAACATTTTCGAAGACCAAAATTAAAATGTACAAGAAAATATTTTCATTTAATTTGGCTTAAAAACAAAATATGTATCTTTTTCAAAAATTGGAAGAAAATAATTATTTTTTATTAGTGCATTGCGACTACCAACAAAAAAAGACGTGAATTATTATTCTATCAAACCGGTAAGGAATTTAAACAGGTGAATCAACTCCCCTTTTTATAGTTTTTTTTTTTAAACTACGAATATTATTTCAAAAAATTCTGAAAAAAGCTAAAATTGACTTTAGAAATAAGCAATCGACAAGTCACAGAATTGATAAGTAGTCATACAATTGGACATAAACAGAAACGATGTATTCCACATTTTTACATGTGTTAAATTGTCAATAAATTAAAGAGTTAACTTGGTTTAAGTAATGAAAAAGAAATTATTGTATTATATTTATTTTAAATTTAAAAAAAAGTGAATGAGCGTGTATATTACAATTAATAAGATTTTTCATATAACTTTTAACTACATATTAATTTAGGGGGAAAAAATTTTTAAATTTTGACAATAATTCGTACATATATTATTATTTATAATCATATAAAAAAAATGCGAACGAGTAAGGGTTTTTGTCTTATCACATTACATATGTATTTCTATTTTAAATCATAAAATGTGCAAACATCTGTAGGTATGTATGTACTACATTCACATTGTTAAAACAAATTTATTTATTAAACCTCTTTTGGTGTTTTGATACCAAACTTTGGATTTTATCGTTTGTGCTCCTGATAATGATAACAATAAATTCAAGGGCATAAATTCTAAAAGTTTTTCTCAAAAATAAAATAGAATTCTTTCTTTTAAAAAGAAATTTTTTTATACACATTTTGCAAATAATCCGCAAAAAATATCTAATTATATAATCTGTTCTTCATTGTTTATAGTATGAATATAATATTAAATATAATATACATTATTATAAATTTATATAAATATATATATTAATGTGTAGCTACTAATTATAATATATTAATGTGTATTAAAATAATATATTAATGAGTACATATACACGAATATGCATAAAATATGTACATCAATCCGATTTGCCTTATTAATCCGATTTAATTCAAAAAAGAATTTTATTTTTTATTAAAATAAATATTATTGAAATAAAAAAATTGTTTTTTCACATAACAAAATAGAAAAATATTCTATCATTAATTAGTAATTAATCTGTCATTAATTAGTAAACTTATAATCTACTTAAATTTTCACAACATGTTTTCTTAAATTAAAGTTTATAGTTACATCGTGTTTTTTATATGGGTAAGTGTACTTTTTTTCGAATAATTTAATGTTTTTATTTTTATTATTACTGCTTTTATTAATATTATTATTTATTTACTTTTAATGATTATTTAATTTTAATGCCTTTTTTTTTAGTTTAAAATATTTTCCTTTAAATATATCAAGTCTTTCAATGACGTAAAAAGATTATTATGATATTATCACTTGCTACCCCCAAAATTTGCACTAGCAGAACCGAACGATTACAAAAATGAGTGCTCAATAAATTATAAGATAACTAAATTAAAATTTTATTTTGTATTTTATATCTATATCTATACATATATATATGTATATATATATGTATATATATATATATATATATATATACATATATATATATATATATATATATATATATACATATATATATATTTTATATATTTATGAATCAAATTTAATGTAGAATATGAATAATTTCTGTACAAATATCTTGAATTAGGCACCACTCAATATTTACATATTCTGAAAATTTCTAATCAAAATTTTTATCTAATAATAATTTAAAAATTTACTGGAAATAATTACAATTACAAAAAAAATTGATAAATCTTTAATAATTCAGATATCTATACCCAATGAAAAGTTTTTGGGGTGGTAAGTATTAGTATCAAGTTCAAACTTTAGTTGCGAAATTTACAAATATTTTCTTTCTTTTATAAAAATTGTTTTTGTTTTTTATAATTCAATGTTTTTCTTAAGAACATTAACTTGTTCTGGTTTCATACTTTTTTCACTCTTAGAATGCAACCTAAAGTCATTCATAAACAAAATGAGAATTCCTTATTTCATTTCTTGGTATTATATTTATAGGATAAATTCATTAGTAAATTAATTTATGTTCAAGTGTATGAGTTTTTCTGTAGCTTTTTAATTTAAAGAAATTTTATTAGAAAAAAAAGCCTTATTGGAAAGTCTAATATACTTAAAAATCTTGAAAGATTTCTAGTTACTATTGATTTTTTGCTTAATTTACATTTAAATGCGGTTATATATGTAAATATATATATATAAATATATATACATGTATTTTTCAACATGGTAATGTAGTTTATTTTCTTTATGTTTATATGATGCTGAATTTGTATTTGCGGTACAATTTGCGTTTAATTTTGTAAATTTTCTATATTCTACTTAAATAAAACGGCGATATTTCGTGAAAAACTATTTTTCAATATTTATTTTTTCTTTCTATTTCTGTCTTATATTTCTCAATAAATAATATAATGAAATATTAAGAAATTTCACCTAATCACGCAGGATACACATAATTTTGAAGTACTAATGCAATCGTCATGACAAAACGCACCGCATTGTTGACATATAACCATAGCATTTAACGAACAAGAACATGAATAATTATTCTGTGACGTAGTATTATCGCCGTTATTGCTACTATTGTGACAACTACTATTATTATTAATTAAGTTATTATTGCTATTCGTATTATTTAATGCTGCTGTTACCACTGTATTTGACAATACTGTTGCTGATGCTACTGATGCTACTGATGTTACAGCAACTGATGCATTTAATGAATTGTTATTGTTGTTATTAGAAACAATTATTGGATTACTATTAACAGACGAAGTGTTAACTATATACGTTGCAGTTTGAGAATTATTTTGATCTAAACTAATATCACTATACATCCCTCCTAAATAAATAAAAGAAAAGAAAATAAAGTGTTTTATTTCGATTTCAAAATAAATTAAGCATGTACCTTGGCTATTGACTATTCTTCTTGTAACGCTTTGAGCTCCCGCATTCTGACCTCCAACATTCTGTATTTCTTGAACAGTATTTGCTGTATCAACATCGACAGAGGCTGGTCTTCCTCGACCACTTATAGGTACACCATTAACGCCATGAATTTGCTAAAAATTCGATACAATGAAACAAATATCTCTTAAAATATTTCACTTTTACTACTTGATTTTGAGCTGGTGGAGCACTAGAAGCTCGAGGTGCTTGATTATCGGCAGCGCCAACATTGGCTCTGTGAATGAGCACATAATGTCCACTACCATGTTGTAATTGGTCTGTCCCTTGTATAATTGTTTGCTGAGCTCCAGGTTGCTGCAACTGTATATTTTGATTTGCGCCATTTGGTATACCAGTACCAGCTGTAGTATAAACGTGACGAATTAAAGTTGGCGAAGCTTGCCTTGGAACAAATTTTTTTCTAGGAAATCCAAGTCTTGGCCCGATAACCTACATAATTGATTTTATATAAACATAAAATATGTTTCAAATATAACGATTTTAAATGTTTATACCTTATACACAGTTCGTCCTGGAGTTATAACTTGCTCGTCGGTTTTCTTCTGAATAGTAATAGTATTATTAGAAGCAATTGAACCTGTGATATTTGCACTATTATTTGATGATGTCAATAGGGAAGGGGGTGGTCGTCTTAGCTGAGCCGTTAACTGGTGTCGGTTAGGACTATTTTGTATAACAGCTTGACAAATCTGATAGCTCCTTTCGAGGTTCACCGCACCTGGCGGAAGTTTATTTGATGAACGTCTGCCTTTGTTGCTTGGCTGTGAATGGACTTGAGTAATTTGTTGATGTTGCTGTTGTTGCGTTGTGAGTAATTTAGATCGTTGCGGGGTTATTGCTGATGAAATTCCTCCTGAATTAGGAATAACTTTGATAGTTTGAGAAGGAACTGTTACAGTACCTGAAGAAGGAACAGAATTATTTACAGCGAGAAAATTTGTTGCTGCATTTCCAGCACGGGAAAATTGTAGTTTTTGATTGGTCGCAATAAGTTTTCCAGCTATATTTTGTTGATGGACTTGTTGAACTTGGTACTGTTGAGGCGAAGACAATTGTATATTAGTTGTTGGCAATTGAGACTGTGTTACTGACTGCAAATGTATTTGCTGAGAAGGTTTTTGATGCGGCTGCTGATGTTGCGTCTGTTGAAAAATTGCTTGCGGTGATTGAATTTTGAGCTGGAGTTGTTGCGGTTGTTGGGCTGATGTTGTAGAAAAATGTGTTACAGCACCTGGATTAATATTTTTCAATACTATTTGTTGAGGAGTTTGTTGGTTTGTTTGTACGGGCTGTTGTTGCTGTAGTTGCTGACTAACACCTGCATTTTGTAATCCCAGCATATTTTGTTGACGCAGCAAATTTTGTTGCATGTGATGTTGTATCTGTTGCTGCAATTGATTTTGTTGTTGCTGCTGCATACTACTTGTATTCTGTGATGAAGTCTGTATAATAAAACTGCCATCAGCCGAAGTTGTTATTATAGTACCAGCAGGAATATTTTGATTTTGTGAAGTTCCTGTTGTTGTTATAATAAGTTTTGTAGTGCTTTGTTGTGGTAAATTTTGAGTTTGGGTTGCGTTATTTAAAACATCACTAATCGATTGATTACTAAAACTATCATTTGAATTGACTGAATTATTACTAGCGACAGTACTAGAGACTTCCATTTCTGCAACTGTCATTGGAATATCCATTTCTGTTTTAATCTAAAAAAAAATATAAAATACCGAATAAATCTGATTGTTTTACAAATTATTGGTAAAGCTGTTAATTCAATTGAATGAAAAAAATCCCTTAATCTATGTTGACTTTTATTCTTCAATTAGTAACTTTAATTAATATTAAATATTTCAAATATTAATAGATACCTTTGTTATTTTACCTAAAATATTATTAAGAGCTCTTCAGAAATATATCCTCCATCCATTTATATAAATATATATAAGTATATATAAGTATATTATATATATATATAAATATGTAAAATATATACATGTATACGAGTATATTTTATGCACTAGTATATGTGTATGTTACGTGCTAAAAGCATAAACTCCTATAATGTACTAAGAGGTCTGTATAAAATACATATTTGTAATGTAATCTTCACAAATTTCTACTTTAAGTCATTTAAAAAATAGGTTACAGTAAAAAAAACAAGAGAAAGAATCTCAGGTAATTGAACAGAAGCTACGTTTGAATAAGTATAGGAGGTTAGAACAATTATTAAAAATTTCCGTTGAAAATGTTCAGAAATTTATTATGTGCAAAGTAATCATTTGTTAGGTTTATTTTCGTACCTGTGAATTATTGCCACCAATTAAAGGTTGTTCGTTTTGTTGGTCATTCACGAGTTGTTGATTTTGATCTTGCTGTTGATATTGATACTCAACATTTTCTTTATCTAAATTAAGTTTTATATTATTACTAGAAGCAGAAATTGCGCCATCAGAAATCTCGATACTTTTTATCTGAAGATTATCTTTATTTATATTTGGTTGTTGTTTTTGATGAAGCTGCAATCGCTGTTGAAGAGGCTGTTCTATTCGCTGGAACTGATGAGATTCTTCTACGTGTTGCAACTGTTGCTCTGAATCATGTAAGACGTTTTGATTGTCATTATTATTAACAGTAATACTTTTTTGGATAATCCCAGTGTCACTAATATTGAAATCCGAGGATGAAGTTGAGTCCATCATGACGCTTTGATTTGACTCAACTTTAATCCCAAAATTCCAGTCATGTTTCAAGTGTTTATAAATTTCTTCGCTAGATAGAAGATTTTGTTTAGTTGGTTGTTGAGAAGGTTGTTGTCGTGACTGTTGCAGCTGTTGCGAATGTTGTTGTTGTTGTTGTTCACGCACTTCAAGCAATTGAGGGTGGTGTTCCTGAGTTGATAGATAATTTTCCGTTTGGGATTGTAGCACAATCACAGGCGACGATGATGTTATAATTGAAGACGAGGAACTGGAAATTGGTATACTTGTTTGAACTTCATTTTTCCCAGCTTGAATTTCAGTTAGAATTACTGAACTACTAGTGGATGGAATAACTAGAAATAATTTTACCAATTAGTATAACAACTTTCATAAGTCATTAAGATCTTACCGCAATTGCCTGAAATAATGTGATCATTTTCAATTAAATAATTTTCGCCATCAGCAATTTTTTGCACAATATGATCGTCGTCAATACATATTGGTTGCAAGCTAGGTTCTATTTCATTTATCGTATCAACATCACTAGGCGAGTTAGTTATATTATTACTATTACTTCCACCACTACTGGCTCCACTACCATTGCCAATTATTGCTGCACTACAATCTATTAAGGCTGATGTGCTACTATTTGTATCTTCAGAACAAGTTAATAAAGTTCCTATAGCACTATTACGATCTAAGGTGCAGTTACTGTTGGCTAAATCCTCAGAAACAATTAAATCATCTAATATATCTTGATGATCCTGATTTTCTTTCACCTGTAAATGATTTTCTTCTTCATCTATCGTGCTGTTATAAAGATCTTGATCCAAATGGTGATGATAACTCCCAATTTTAGCTTCTTCGATTTGTATTTTTTTTTGGAGATGACTTTGCTCAGCATCCATTTCGTTTATGGTTTGATTTTGAAATGTGAAAGTTCCATGTTGAAAATTAAAATTTGAGCTTTGACAAATATCTGTTGACGGTAGTGGTCGCTTTGCTTGTTGAATAGATACCATCGGAACGGGATTTGCATTTGATTCATAATTAAATCCATTTTCCGTATTAGCACTTTCAGATAACTGATAGTCGCTTGATCCAACATCGTTTTCATTTAAAACGTCTGCATCTGTTTCAGGTCGCCCTTCATTACTATCAACATCATGTTCAATACACTCTTCTGAAGCTAACCCCACTACAAATAATAATTTAGAAAATGATCCTTCACGTTGCAAATCATTAAATACTTACCATTAATGCCATGTTGGTTGCTGTTATCATATAAGTCATTACTGAGTTCTAATTTGTTATTAATTTCTAAACTGTTACAAGTCTTTTCGCTTAAAATGTCATTGTTAGAACAACTATCGTCTTGAAGATTACCCGATGTAGCAACAGTGCTTATACTAGCAGTGGTGGCACCCCCAATGTCACAGCTGTCCATTATATTTGTAAAATCAGAATTTTGTTCTTGAAACTGCATAACATTTTCTTCATTTAATTGTTGTAACTGGCGTTGTTCAACTTGATCTAAAAGTAAACCTTCCTTTACCTCATTCATAGAAAGCTCATGCTCTTGGAATTGATCAGAGTAAGTTGTACTCTTATTATTTTTATCTTCCACCAGATCTGTTGAAAATGGCTCCGATGATGAAAATTTTACTTCATTTTTAACAATGGATAATTTAATTTTAGAGTGAGATTCTAACATAAATTCCTTATTTTCTACTTTGCTTTCTTCTAATTTTAAAATTTTATTTTCACTTCGTCCAAATTGTGGGCTGGAAGAAGATCTTTTGAGAGTTCTAGATTTTAAGTTTTCAATTTCAAAATGACTTTGGTGATAATGTTGAAAATTGCCTTCTGTAGGTAAATCTACTTCTTCAACTTTAACAGGACCTATCAGATTTTCTTTTTGTCGCCGTTCTAAATTTTCATTTTCAGAAATACTACATGAAACTATATCACCATTTTTAAGCAAAATTTTCGATGAATTGGTTTTTAATAAAGGATTAGTAAAAGATTTCCTTTGATTAATTTCGATTAAAGCTTTATCACATTTCTCAGGAGCTAGCGTAGTAGCTTGTTTACAATTTTTGTCAACGATTTGGTTCGGTAAATGAGATTCGTTCAAGTTGTCATTGAAACTGGAGTTACACATTTCTACACAGTAATTCTTTTTATTATTATTATCATTACTACTACTGCATTCACTTAAATAATCATTACTATTACTTGTTTCGTTATCGTGCTCTAATTTAATGTTTTGCCGTCTATCTTCCTGTAGGACATTATTGTTAGATAGTTCCAATGGTGAACAAACTTCAGAACCTTTTAAAATGTTTTGTGAAGAGCTTACTTGTAATGCGGAACTTGTGTGAATGACCGATTTGACTGAAATATTTTCGTGTTTGCTCGTTAATATAGAATTTGTAGATACGGTCTTATTTGAACTATTATGTGTGACAATTGAAGTAGTAGAACTGCTATTGCTGTTAATGTTATGCGAGTCTGTTGAATCTATTGATTTGCCACTAACAGCTGTGTCGGAATATGGTGAATTAGTAGATGTGGGTGAAGATGATGCAGATGAGGCAGCTGAAGAAGTTGATGCAGTCGATGATGCTGATGAAGTTGATGAAGATGGGGATGGTACGGTGTTACTACTGTTATTAATACACTGTTTTGGTTGCTGCTGTTGTACTGTCGAACTAATTACACTAGCTATAGTTGAACCGCAATTTGTCGAAGAAATTGACGTTATTGATTTATTTAGTTTGATTGTCGTCTTAAGAGCTGGTCTTAATATTGGAGTTTCATTACTTAATAATTGTTTACCATTATTTTTTTCATTAATACTACTGTTACTACTATTAATACCATCGTTAGTGTTTGAACAGGAATTTTTCAAAGAATCAGATGCTGAATTGGAAAATATATTCGCACTTTTTCTGTCATTCGCTTTTATTTCAGTCGTGTTTTCTGTTGTTGATGTAATGCTTGTCGGAGTTTTTGTTCCCTGCGGCATTATCGTGGTTTTCTCAGGTAAATGGTGATTGCCACTAGTATCTGTATTTTTACAACTTTCATTATTTGCTACTACTAATTGAACTTTTTTATATGACGATGTTGTGGGCATATCTAAAATTGTTAAACTACTGTTATTAGATTTACTACTATTTACCACAGAAATTTTTAGCGATTTATTTGTTGCAGGTTGTGAAATATTATTTGAGTTACTACTTATATTATCGTTATAATTACTATTGGTACTACTACTACTATTGGTACCGCTACTATATATCAAACTTGTTATTGTGGCGATATTATTTTCACTTGCTGAATTTACGTCAGGTTGCGAAGATGTAACATTTGCTAATGGAGGTGATGTTTCTGCATATACTGATTGCACGACAGTGGTTGTTGAAGTCGTACATGTTGCTGTTGGAGTATTTGATACTGAAGTATTAACTTGCGACGACTTTAATCTTTTATCACCCCATATAGGCTCGAAATGTTTCAATTTCCATGGATCTAGTCTCAATTTTTCACGTTCAGCTTCACTTTTTAATTTCACCTGATTTTCAGGAGTAAATTCCCCTTCTGTCAAACGCTCACGCCATTCTAAACAAGCTCTAGCGAAGAATTCGTTATTTAAGGCTGAAGCATTCAAATGAATTGCTGGTATTGTAGTGTCCATAGGATTATCTAAGTTTTTTAATTTTAATGGTTCTAGATTAGATGGCCTGTCACAGGCTGGCAGCAGTTGAACTAAATTATACTGATACAATGGCGGCAACAAAGAAAAGGTATGTTTGTTTAATAAAGCTCTTAGGTTAGTTCCACATAAAATCGAATCAGGCGTTTCCAAATCTATTCGACCATCTTTTGTTTGTTCAATTTGTGCAGCTGTTGACAATTTATTTTTATTAGAACGCCTTGGTCGAGACTTCATATTGTATCCCGGTATTGCAGCGGCAATTACTTCCCGCATTGTGCTAGCAGAAGAAATGGTTTGTGTGCTTCCAGTTCCGATTGCTCCTTGGCTTGTTGCAACTAAACTGGTAGCAAATGACACAGAATTGGCCGATGAAGCTATCGTCGAATTTCTTAAACTTGATCGTACTCCTTTCTCAGGTTTAGTTGTAGTTGTTGTGACTGTGGTGACTTGAAATGTTAAAAATCATAAAATTATTTTTAAATTCTGTTTGAAAATAAAAATCTCATAATTTACCTGCTGTTACAAGCGACTTTTCCGGAATCGGTTTAAAAATTATCCTTGGATTACGCCGCAAACTATGTGAATGTGTACGCCTATTACCATCCTGTTGACCAATTGTTGTTGAAGATGTTGAGCTATTTTCATCTGGTAAGACAGTTGTATTATCAATTGCCAAAGGGTCAGACTCTTCAACAATGGCGTGTTCCGTAGTCAAGGATTCCAAGGTTGCTCGTACTTGTTGAATTTGAATTTTCGGTTGCAATATTTGTGATTGCCGATTTTGTGATATTTTTGATTGTAATATTGGTGGAGGAGTCGAAGCTTTTCTAGTCTTAACGTTCAAAGTTGATTTAGAATTTATCGATAAATTTGCGTTTGTGGTTGAATTTGCCGTAGTGGCTGTTATTATCGAAGGCTCTTCTATTGCTGCTGCTGAAGGTGTTGTACTTGCTATAATTTTTTGGTGTTGCATTTGCTGTTGAATTTTTATTTTTGATACTTTAGGAGGTATTTGCTTGGGAATAAAAATAGGAGTCGTTGTTAATTGAATTTTTTGTTGCAGGGGGCTATTTACATTTGGAAATATAGAACGTTGCTGCTGGATCTGCTGTTGCTGTTGTATTTGAAACGGTTTTACATTGGTCTGATTATTAATTTGATGAATAATTTGTATTTGCGGATGCGATGACGACTGTGCACTAACCGGCGGATGGTGATGTATTCTGTGATGGTGATGGTGATGAAATGATGTTGTAGATGGTAAGCGTTGCACGGCAGTATGTAATCTCTGGGAAGAAAGCACACTATTCTGCTGAACCGCAATTGATGCTGATGTTGTAGTTGATGTTGTTATTATTAATTTATCCGAACCTGAACTAGATAATTTATTATTTGTGCTATCCGATGAGCCTGCAACGGATGCTAAAGTTTTTACAGTAGTCATTAAGGTGTTATGTTGCTTATGTGGTGTCAGTTTTTGTTGACTTGAAATTTCTGTGGCATGTTTCTCCGATGCTGATGCTATCGATGAACCGGGTGTGACATCACATTCCATAGCTACTAAAAGTGTTGCATCGGCTGAAAAATAGGTAATAGAAATATATATGCATATCAAAGAAATTTTCTGTCACCATTAATAAATTTCACAATATTTATAGTATCTATATTCACAATATACTCATCCGTTGCTTAACGGAAGTTCGTTATACAGAGTTTCAATTTTACAGAATTCAATAATTAAACCAAAGTCTCTTTTTACGGAAAAAAAATCAATTTACGGAAATTTTTTAAAATGCAAAAAGAAAAAAATAGTCTAAAAATTACAATTTTTATAAAAATTTATAAAAATTATAATTTTTTAGACTACTTTATTTCTACGAATTTTTTTGTTTGAATATAAATACATACATATGTATGGTAAATATTATGTTGATACATAAAAGCCATTGTGATTATGTATGTATATATATGTATTCTAATGTTATATATGAAATAGAGATCAGAGCAAAATAATGCAAAGAATTTATGTATGTAATTGCTTTTTTTTCAAGAATTAAAATTTCTTGTTAATTTTTGTTGTCTAATATTGTAATAATAATAAAATCCTACTATATTTTTTGCAAATTAACAAGATATACATTTAAAACAAATTCAAGTCAATTCTACATGTTTTTCTCTTTAATTCAATATAAAGCCGCCGGGGGATTGCGTAAGAGAGCTAAAGCTTTCTAGGGATAGCGATTCTAGCTTACGTAGTCCCAAGTGTTAGTTATAACCTCCTCGAGGTGGCGGCTGGTCAATACATCCTAGAATGTAGCCAATATAACTAATGCGAAAACAGGAAAAATAAAAATGGATCAAATCAAGAATAACAATAAACTTACGGAACAGGGTTTCGGATGCCCAGAACCGGTACGTGGTGAGAGTGTGCGAGTGGGCTCCCACGGATCGTCAGAATGCGACCGCTCTGCACCTATGGTGAAGTCACAGGCTATGGTGCTGGATAATGCTACTGTGGACATAAACGACAAAGGTCGTCAAATCAACTCTAATCCTTTTCAGAGAAGCAAAAAGATTGTCAGATCACCTGACAAAACTACTGAGCATAGCAACCAGATTATGGCAGAAAATGAGCTCCTGAAGAAAAAACTAATAGAAATTGAGTCAGTCACTCGTAAAATGCAGGATGAAATTAACATATTAAAAACAGAAAATATGTCTTTAAAATCTCAACTGGATGAAAACAGTAAAAATATAGGACATACAGTTGGTAATATTAAAGCGGCTGTAGCAGATAAATATAATTTAACTGATTCTGATAGCAGCGTGCTTACAGGTTTCGAAACTGATTCGGGAAAAATTACAATGAAAACTAAAAGGCAAGTTAAGAAAAGAAAAGCGAAATCTTCCCCTGAAATCACTTCTGTTGAAAATAAATCTATTGAAGTAGCGACAGATATCCCTAATACTGCTAAAATCACTGCAGTTGAACAAAAACCAAAACAAAATGATGCGCAAGAGATTAGCGTAAGAAGACCTCCACCAATAAATGTAGTTGGTATAGAAAATTATAAAAAAATTCAAGTTCTGATTGGTGAAATTACGAAAAATTATAAAATTACTTCTTTAAATAATAACGTATGGAAACTCAATACAGAAAACAGCGATGACTATCGTACCATAGCTAAGAAATTAAACAGCGAAAAAATTGAATGGTTTACATATGAGAATAAACAAGATAGACCAATCAAAGTTATGGCAAGAGGTCTACATTGGTCTTGTGAGAAAGTGGATATTATAACCGACATTAAAAATCAGGGCTATAATATCTTAGACGCTGTAAATATACTTAAAACAGAGAGATCTATCGATGATAAGGGTCAGCAAGTAGTCCAAAAACGAAAACTTCCGCTGTTTATGCTTACTTTTGATAAGTGCGAAAAAATAGAAGATATATACAAAATTAGAGGTATCCTAAATTTAGTAGTGAAGATCGAGCCAATCAAAAGAACTGGAAAAGAAATACCTCAGTGTAAAAGGTGTCAAGGATTTAACCACACCAAAAGTTTTTGCAGAAAGACGCCAAGATGTGTTAAATGTGGAGGAACTCATCTTACCGCGAATTGTACAATCTCGAGAGATGTTCCTGCTGTGTGTGTCAATTGCAAGGGTAATCATCCAGCTAGCTACAGAGGCTGTGTAATAGCTAAAGAGCTGCAAAAGAAAAGAAACGTTGCTATAAAATCACAAAGAATGGTAATTCAATCTCCTTCCCTCAACCAAAGAAACATTGGTAAATATGAAGTCACTGGGCGACCTCCAAATAGTGGCACTGTTAGTAGTCTAAAACCTACTAATAGCGTTGAAACACCAAAGAATAGTGCAATAAGAAACAAATTGACATATGCGCAAGCAGCTAAATTTAGTAATAATGATTGTGATAGTAAGAAATTTAATATAAGTTCCATAGACAATACACTAAAGCTAATCCTCACTAGACTTGACGAATTAAAATCGAATGAAAAATTAATCTGTGATAGAATCGAAGTGATAGAAAATAAACTTAACCAAAGAGTAAACAAAAAATGACGAATGAATTAAGAATTATGACATGGAATGCAGATGGAATTTTGAATCACACCCAAGAACTAGAGTACTTCCTGCATAAAGAAAAAATTGACGTAGGATTGATATCCGAAACTCATTTCACCAAAGAAAGCTATATTCACATTAGGGGATATACTCCATACAATGCGGTACATCCTGAAAACAGGGCTAAGGGGGGAGCAAGTATACTTATAAAAAATAGTATTAAACATGATCCTTCACCTAACATTGAGAAGCAATCTATGCAAATTGCATCAGTAATAACCAACATAAACAACAAAAGAATTAAAGTGTCGGCCATCTACTGTCCACCCAAACATAGCCTAAAAGTCCTGGATTATGAAGATATGCTAAAGTGTCTTGGGAGCTACTTCATAATTGGAGGTGATTTTAATGCCAAAAATACCTTCTGGGGCTCCAGAATCATCACCCCCAAAGGCAGAGCATTATACGAGGCTGCAACTCAATTAAAGTGCAACTTCCTATCAAGTAGTAAACCTACTTATTGGCCAGCAGATCCGAATCGTCTTCCAGATCTTATTGACTTTTTTATTACTAAAGGACTATCGGATAATTATGCTCATGTCAGTGAAAGCTTTGATCTCAGCTCGGATCACTCACCAGTTATATTAACAGTAAGTGACACAGTTATTACCAAGATTCAAAGACCTTACCTTTATAATAAATCGACGAACTGGAGCAATGTCCGTGAGAATTTAAGTAATGTTATAAATCTCCAAACATCTTTAAAATCAACTCAAGAGATTGAAAATGAAGCATGCAAATTCATAACACATGTGCAAAATGCGGTCTGGAACAACACACCTAGCAAGGATAATAATGATGACACTTTTTTATATCCCATTGAAATTAGAAAATTGATCAGGCAGAAGCGAAGGGCTCGAAGAATATGGCAACACTCTCGGGCACCTTCGGATAAACTGAATTTAAACCAGCTGACTAATAAAGTTAAAAAATTATTAAGAGACAGAAAAAACGAAACAATGAAAAATAAACTTAGTAATCTATCGGCTAACAAAGATTCAGACTACTCGCTATGGAAATTGACAAAAAGAATAAAGAATCCAAAGCTTCAAATTCCCCCTCTAAGGAAAGAGGACTCTAGTTGGGTTATTTCAGATAAAGACAAAGCTATTTATTTTGCAGACTACCTAGAAAATATATTTAAACCGCTTCCCCGACAAACAGCAGATGAAAATGCTCGTATCCTGGTAAATTATTATAACCTGGACATCAGGAAAATAACGATGGCAGAACTAATGGAAGAAATAAAAAACTTAAACAATAGAAAGGCGCCTGGGTTTGACCTTATTTCGGCCGTTATTTTGAAAGAGCTACCTATTATTGCGATAAAGAAAATGTTATACTTATTTAATGCGGCGCTAAGATTGAGATATTTTCCTGATATCTTAAAAGTAGCTGAAGTTATAATGGTGCTTAAACCTGGTAAACCTGCTCATGATATCAAATCATACAGACCGATCTCGCTTCTTCCCATAATCTCCAAAGTTCTTGAAAGGCTACTATTGGCTCGCATTTTACCAATTATAAATGAAGCCCATATTATTCCAGACCACCAATTTGGATTCAGAAGCAATCATTCAACAATCGATCAGGTGCATAGGATCACCAATGTTATTGAAAATGCCTTAGAAAGAAAGGAAATTTGTTCTGCTGTGTTTCTAGATGTTGCCCAGGCCTTTGATAAGGTTTGGCACAGGGGTTTACTCTTCAAACTAAATAAAGTGCTACCAAAATCGATATGCACCTTACTAGAGTCATATCTCCATCGAAGAACTTTTAGGATTAAACAAAACGAAGAATATTCTGAGCTGAAAGAAATACATGCAGGTGTACCTCAAGGAAGTGTCCTCGGCCCAGTCCTGTACCTGTTATTCACAATGGACATCCCACAATTTGCTGATACCACCACAGCAACATTTGCAGACGATACAGCCATCTTGGCAGTAGGTAAAACCGTCCATGAAAGCTCGGCAAAAGTTCAATTTACTCTTGACAGGGTAGTAATTTGGATGAAAAAGTGGAGAATCAAGATTAACGAAAATAAATCTATTCATGTAAACTTCACAAACAGGCAAATAAACAATATTAATTTGTTAATAAATCACCAACCAGTTAAAGTTGCAAACGAGGCGAAATACTTGGGCATGACTCTGGACGCGAAGCTACACTGGAAAGCCCATATCAAAAAGAAAAAGGAAGAATTAAATATTAAAATAAGAAAGCTCAATTGGATACTTGGAAGAAGTTCGGAAGTTAATTTATACAACAAATTGTTAATCTACAAACAGATGATTAAACCAATTTGGACGTACGGCATTCAGCTTTGGGGCTGCACCAAAAAAAGCAACTATCAAATTATTCAAACTGTTCAAAATAAAATCCTTCGAACAATAACGAATGCGCCTTGGTATGTGAAAAACAGCACA